AGATGATTCGCTCGATACTGCAAATCTAAGTTTATCCTCGCTTTACAGAATGGTACCTAGAGCTCGGCGAAAGACTTGAAAGCAAGGGAGTTATTGACGATCAAACAGTGTTAACATTTTTTTAGGACACCCTGTATATAAATGGCTGATGTGAAGGCAAAATTTTACGCGGTTGAGAATCAATATGGACGGAACTTATGGTACACCCTGATAGTTCACGTTTTAAAGTGGCGACGCCTCATTGGCGTCGTAATCTTCCCTTATCAATCATTTCCGTATCCTATGAGCATGGTTTACCGTACCATTTCTATAAGTGATCGCCGGAGGTAAGCGGTCAACGTAAAATTCGCAGTTGACTTTACGCCCTCCGCCTACAAAATTTCAAATAACTTAAGACGCGCTTTCCCGATGCGCTTGTGAATCTCTCCGCTTTACCAGAGACATTGCTGGTTTTTGTCGTAGTAGGAAATCAACGAACGGCCTTGCAAAAGTACATGGTCAATCAAACTCTGTCAGTAGACGCGAAAATTTTTTTCGATGCCTGCCTACATCCAACGACTGCCTCAGTATGTGTTCTCTTATTTAAATGTACATGCTGTTACAAACTTATGGTGATGGAATGGGCACTGGCCGGTGCAAATTCTGTACCAGATACGAAAGCACTTACGCAAAGATATACAATACCGCTCATAATTCGTCAAAAGAGTCGCCGCACTGCGGCGCACTCGCCGGAGTGCGCTGCAGTGCAACGGAGTGCGGCAGAGTGCGCCACACTTCACTAGAGTTTGCCGGAATCCGCGTCGCATCGCCATATCTCGCTTCAGAATGGACGAATTCTAAATCCGAGGACACCGTTCTATTCAGCTCGCGAGACGCATCATCTTTTGGATAGAAGTGCCACAATCTAGCAGGATTTGGTTGGATTTTTTGGTGTGCTGATAACAGTATTGCCATTGATTTGTCGCTGATGACACGTAGTAAGTATAGTGTAGGAGTATGGTAGAGAGTCAATCTGATCTAATTTGCTCTAGAATTTGCTCAAGATCACAATACCGCTCACAGAATGTGCAGAATTTTTGTGAACTTCGCGGAATTCCTGGATTTCCGCCTAAGTCCGTGATATTCCTGAAAGTTTGCGACATTCTAGGATCCGCGGAATCACGGAAATCACACAGAATACGCAACGCCATATTTTCCTCCGCAATAGTTATGTTCCAAATCGGAAAGCAGGATTTTGTTCAGATCGTCAAGGCAAACTTCTGATGTACAGCCTTCCCTAAATATTCCGCTTCCAGTTTTCTCGAATTTTTCTGTGGAGGTCCTTTCGCAAGAATGTAGCGCAGCGTCTGTGTAACATAAAAGATTTTAATAAGCACTATTCGATAGTACTGTTGTTGTAGATTATCGCGTGAAAGTAGCTGTACACTGACTTTCACAAGAGGTAGAAGCGTTGGTGAATTTTGGAAAAATCACGGGTTTTCAAATTTTACTCGCCGTAACTTTCTTCGGAATAAATATATTCTGAATCCGAAGAAGGCTTTGTGCTCGGTTCATCAAGGCAAATCTTCCGGTAGTATTCTCAAAACTTGCTGTGGACGTCTTTTCGCAAAGATGTAAAGCAGCGCGTATTGCCCCTAGTAGACTCCAGCAGGGACCGCTCGATATTACTTTTTCCGTGGATTATGATGCACTAAATAGTAGGCGCAGGTTTTTTTTCAAAGGAAATAGAAGGGCTGGTGAATTGTGGAAAAATCTTGTCGTTCCAAATTCTACTCGTCGTAACTTTAGAATACGAAGCTATCTTGCTAAGCAGATGTGAGTATCAAAATCAGCAGGACAACCTCTATGAGCAAATTTTCAGAGAACTTCGGATTATCTGGTTTTTTCTCGTTCCACGCTCTGGAAGCTCGCAGATGGATTTTGGTCAAAATGTTGATGCCCTTGAATTGTAAGGAAACTTCGTTTATAGAGGTTCTCGAACACGCTCTTTACGAAAATCGTGGTCTTCGAGGATTACAGGGTCTTTTTAGAGATACAGTGACTTGACTGTAACTGCACCACGAAAGTGCGTAAATTTGCCCGCACTTCTCCCGTATCTGTCAAAAAACTTGCCTGCTTGCTTTTTTAAGTCAAAGTTACTAGGAACTGTGCTATCGAGTGGTGCATGTCTCAAGCTCCAGTCTATGAAAGTCGCCAAGTTACGATACGAAAACACGTTCTCATGAATTTTGCCCAAAATGTAAAGATCGCATATTTCGTCGAAATTCCACCGCGAGTGCTTGTATAACATACTGATTAAATCTGTTCACATCGTTGAATGGATCTCACTGTGTTGGATTTTTTAATTAGGTAGACCTGAGCTCTAGCTACGAAGCTGCTTTGATATTTAATTAAGCAGCTGAAGAAACGCAACCACCATATTCATTACCAGTGCATCACCTCTGCTTCGCAGAGGCTCGCGCTGGCCCTACTTTGTGTATGCTTTACTCATTCCCGCACAAAAGTGACAAAGAAACTCACCGCGCTATGCCGACTATCACGAATGATTTGTAAATAACTATTCATTCTAGAAGCTTTCCCATATGAGATCGGTAATTTCGCGTGAATGGAACTTCTCCCAAAGGAACAACTGATTTGAATCGGTTTTTGGAGTTTTCATGGCTCGGCATTTGCCATAAGATACAATGTCACCGTGGGCTACATCTCTGTGCAAAAACCTTTTCAAATGATCGGGTAAAATCTTGGCAAAGTCAGCACTTACGCAAAAAATCTTTTTGACACCGTTTTTGCAAATTAATAAACTTTAGTTCAATTTTTTTCCTAAAGTCCATCGTTTGCACATTAACTTGTCAAACAATTCGTGACCTTGCAAAAAGTTGTGCTACAGGCTCAATTTTATTGACCAAGAGCCAAGTGGATCCGATTGACGCCCATTTTTTGAGGGACCCACACAGTGGATCCGCTCATGCTTTTGTACACTGGACTCTCATGTAAGTAGCATGCTCTGTGCAAAATTTGGGCTGGAATTCATTGGAACTCGCTCCATGAATTTCGTGACAGACAGAGATTCAGACACACACACACACACAAACGTAAGCAACCCTTAGCCCGTTATTATAAGTTATGATATTGGGATAGACGGGGCTTGAGACATGCACCATTCGATAGCACAGTTCTTAGTAACTTTGACTTAAAAAAGCAAGCAGGCAAGTTTTTTGACAGATACGGGAGAAGTGAGGGCAAATTTACGCACTTTCGTGGTGCAGTTACAGTCAAGTCACTGTATCTCTAAAAAGACCCTGTAATCCTCGAAGACCACGATTTTCGTAAAGAGCGTTTCGAGAACCTCTATAAACGAAGTTTCCTTACAATTCAAGGGCATCAACATTTTGACCAAAATCCATCTGCGAGCTTCCAGAGCGTGGAACGAGAAAAAAAAACAGATAATCCGAAGTTCTCTGAAAATTTGCTCATAGAGGTTGTCCTGCTGGTTTCGATACTCACATCTGCATAGCAAGATAGCTTCGTATTCTAGGGTTACGACGAAGAATTTGGAACGACAATATTTTTCCACAATTCACCAGCCCTTCTATTTCCTTTAAAAAGAAATCTGCGCCTACTATTTAGCGCATCATAATCCACGGAAAAAGTAATATCGAGCGGTCCCTGCTGGAGTCCACTAGGGGCAATACGCGCTGCTTTACATCTTTGCGAAAAGACGCCCACAGAAAGTTTTGAGAATACTACCGGAGATTTGCCTTGATGTACCGAGCAGAAAGCCTTCTTCATATTCAGAATATATTTATTCCGAAGAAGATTACGGCGAGTAGAATTTGAAAACGCGTGATTTTTCCAAAATTCACCAACGCTTCTACCTCTTGTGAAAGTCAGTGTACAGCTACTTTTAAACACGCGATAATCTACAAGAACAGTACTATCGAATAGTGCTTATTGGAATCTTTCTTGTTACACAGACGCTGCGCTACATCCTTGCGAAGGACCTCCACAGAAAAATTCGAGAAAACTGGAAGCGGAACATTGAGGGCATGCTGTACATCATAAGATTTGCCTTGACGATCTAAACAAAATCCTGCTTCCCGATTTGGAACATAATTATTGCGGAAGAAAATATGGCGTTGCTATTCTGTGTGATTTCCGTGATTCCGCGGATCCTAGAATGTCGCGAACTTTTAGGAATATCACGGACTTTGGTGGAAATCCCGGAATTCCGCGAAGTTTACGAAAATTTTGCACATTCTGTGAGCGGTATTGTGATCTTGAGCAGATTCTAGAGCAAATTAGATCAGATCGACTCTCTACCAAACTCCTACACTATACTTTCTATGTGTCATCAGCGACAAATCAATGACAATACTGTTACACACCGCACACCGAAAAATCCAACTAAACAAAAGTCTGCAAAATTGAGCGAAAACTACTGTCTAGCGTATACCTATCATATCCTGCTAGATTGTGGCACTTCTATATAAAAGATGATGCGTCTCGCCGAGCTGAATCGAACGGTGTCCTCGGATTTAGAATTCGTCCATGAAGCGAGATATGGCGAAGCGACGCGGATTCCGGCAGACTCTAGTGATGTGCGGCGCACTCCGCTGCTCTCCGGCAGACTCTAGTAGAGTGTGGCGCACTCTGCCGCACTCCGGCGCACTGCAGCGCACTCCGGCGACTTTTTTGACGAATTATGAGCGGTATTGTACTCACAAAATAATGTTATTCAAGTAGTTGTTTTCCATATGGAATAGCAGTAGCCACTGGTGGCACAGCTAAAAGAAACCCCGCTTCCTCGTCTTCAACTGTTTCAGTAAGGTGAATATTAGAAGAGTATGACATTTTTGGCCTTCTCGATATCTTTGAATGCAAAAAACTTGCACATCTACTACCATGTAGATACGGTTTATCCAATTTATTAATCTTGTACATTTCGTGACCAATATTTCGCAATATCTTTGACAACACTTTGTTACAGTACATTACAATATTCAACTGAGAATCAGTGCGCAAATCATGATGTAGAACGAATAAGAGCAAAGCATTTGGCTTTCATTTCTATTTTCTTCCACTTTGCGGTGAACACCATATTTTTCATCTCTTGAAAACATATTCAGTTGTGCATCGTCAGCAAAATACCCGTCTTCCTTGTCTTCATCTCCTCCTCCTAGTCCTAAATAGAACTGCTCAGTGCCATTTTTTTCGGGAGACGGTCAAGAGGCCCGATTTTTTCGAAGGTCAGCTCAATTTAGAGCTATGCGAATCTCTCAAAAATACCACACAAAGTGCTCTAGCTTATTAATCATCTGAAGCGAAAACTTGCTAAGTTTGAAGGCTTTTGGTAAAAAATTGATTGAAACATTTACGAAAACGCCATTAGTTGCAATTTCAAGGGTTTTGGCCTCCAACACTCGTGTCTCAAACTTATTTCAAAACTAGTTGACTTACCCGGCTCCGCCCGGCTCTGTCATTATTATACTCGTAATCAGCATGCTCGATTACCCCCCTGTGCCAACTCCCAGCCCTGTAGCTCAAATTTTGCAAAAAATCGATAAAATCGATACCGATCGATGACGTAAAGTGGCCTATGACATCCGCCGGGGCCCGATGTGTATGTGTGCTAAGTTTGATCTGGATCGGTTCAGAAATGGAATTTTCTATTCGGAACATACGTACAGACAGACAGACATACAGACAGACAGACAGACAAACAGACATTCAGCTTTATATATAAGATGATAAGATCAAGCAACCCATGAGACGATCATACATATCTTTCTAGAAATTGGAATTGCTCCTAGAACATCAAAAAGTACTAAAAAAAGCGTTAATTAGTATCTATCTGGCAATAACAATCGCGCCTCTTGACTACACCCAATTTTTTCGAATTATTTCTGAATGGTAACATTTCGGACTGTCGATACAGGCTCGCGTCATCAAATAGAAAAAAGTTGAATGGTGGAATGGGCCGAAAAAGTTGAGAAGAAATGATGACGATTCCTTCTTTCTTTGAGTTTCGCTTGCGAGCTAGAGTCAGAAGAAATGTCGCGATTCAACGAGATACACTTCGCTGATGCCTGACGTTTCGCTTGCACACCATCGCCAGAGGCTAGAAGTAATTCACGATTATATCACTCTACTTGCAGCCATGTCCTTGCACACTTGCGGCCACTTGCGCGATGGGCTGCAATGTCGAAATGAGAAAGAAAAGTATGAGAATGCTTGAGTACAGACAGGATGTGTTTCCCCAGTATTCTCTTCTTATCGTGAAGCAATGTGAAATGCTAATATGATCTGATTTACAAATTTAGTTGATGGTGTTGCACTGCAGTTCGTCCACATTTTGTAACAGATAAATGCTGCTCCAAGGTGAAACACTTGGCCAGTAGATTTTATGCAGCATTTCGATTTCATTCTAGAAATTGAGTACGATGATGAAGGAAGGGCTTGGCAGCTAGTGAAGTAATATCGAATGGACTGACAATTTTCCAGGCCTTTGAAATGTGTCATCGTTAAACATCTGTACGGCAGAAAAGATTAGGTGAAGCCATACTATTCTGCGAAGGCTACAAGCCAGGAGGATTTATAACAGATATGGATTCACTCTCCACCGGATATTCACCAAAAAATTAATATCTACGATATCACAAACAGACGAGCGCCATATGCAGCCAAGGTACTTTAAGCACCTCTCATTTATTTCGCAACTTCATTCAGAAACAATCTGGTTGACCAGTGTGCACTGCTCCAGCATCTAAATCGGATATGGAGCGTATCTCGACTTTTCAGAGTGATTTGATTGTAGAACGTGTATTTTTGGATAGCATATGCAGCAAGCCTATACAGTCTGTAGATACAGAAGCGTTTCGAGAATAATTAACACGGACGAATAAAGCATTTGGTTTGGTGGTTTCATCTGGTCTCAATAAGGGAAGGACATTTGGTGACCGTGGCTTTCGTATTGAGTTAAAAAGAATGAGTCTTAGACGCTGATTGCGCGCTTTGTCATTTGCTAAGCGAGTTTTCGAATAGTCATGGATATCATACCTTCCGAGAGCAGCAGTTTTTGGTAGTAAAGTTTTATGGCGCAGTAAAGACAGACCGTAACACTGTCATCGGTCCCCTTTCTTTGCAAAAATTCAAACTCAGATGCTCAATATCCTTTTCTAGATATTCTTTGTACACAAATTGAATGAAGCAGAAATCATTTGAACAGAGAACATCAGTAGAGAGTACCGCTTTGTTGTAGTTTATCTTGCAATGTGTTTGTGTTTATGCGCTGTAATTAACGCAAAAAGTCACCTTCACTCAAGACAGTGCTGCGTCCTGCAGATTCCTCTACGTGCATTGTTTGCGTTGTCTCAGTTGTTTCTAGCTGTTCTTCTTTGTCTTCATACACTCCAGTAACTCCAGTATCTGGTAATTAATTGCTATGAAATTTATGGCATGTTTTGTTGACGCTTTACCATCTATTTCACATGTTGACTTCTCGAGCTTGCTGCAAATCCTTTTGAGCTTTGAGACTGACGAAGCTCGAATGTTTGGGTTATTTTTCACGTGCATATTAACAATAGATGTCTCCTTTGATCCAAGAGTAACAGTTTCCAAGTTAGGATTGTTTTCGATAACCAAACTTTCAGATCCTGCAAAAAACACGAGAAGTTCGGACATACAGTGCATTTTTGAGGATGATTAGTTCACACTTCCTTCTATTTCTGCCAGACTGATGCAAAATATATTTGTGCAATCATTCTTCCTCTTTTCTGTTCTAATAAATAATTAAGGAAAGATTATCGTGAATCATGCCGACATGTATAACCGTGCATCGAGCGTTCTTATTGAGGGCCCATATGCCGTATTTACTAAGAAGCGCATGCATACGGGCCCACAATTAGAATGGTCGATAAGCACTAACTTGCTATCTAACTCACTTTCTTTGCATGGAAACATTCTCTTAAGCTTTGGCATTCTGATGGTTTTGAAATTAGTTCCATCTATTTTGATGCACAGCTGCACATGAGTAGCTTCTTTAAACAGATTATTAAACCGTTCCTCAGTTAGCCCCGATGCCATTAGAGTTATAAAACTTTTGGGTTTTTGTTTGATGATCTTCTCTCCTGAGCACATATCAGCCACGACATCAATTTCTTCCGAGTCTAGCATGTCGCACTCCTTGGCTGAAAGTGAAGACTTTTCACTTAACGCTTACTGTTTTAAACACCAAAAATAAGTGTTTGGAAAAGTAGAAAAGGCTGCGCAGCTTCCGTTGTATGCATTTCATGCGCTCTATCGATGATAGGTGCTCGATACATGCATTCCGCAAAAGGACTAGTTTTTGTCCAGTACTATTCTTTGCCAAGACGTGCTTAATTACGCGCTAAACACTACCGCAAGTTGTATGCGTTCAAAATTATAGTTGTTTTTGAGTAGCACCTTTTTTTGAAAACTTGCTCAAAAAACTCGTACTGCTCAGGATCCGGCACAGCTGGAACCGGGACAAGATGGATATCGTTTCCAAGGGAAAAGCAAAAGGAACATCGATTTCGCGGAATCCAGGGTGGAAAAGCCGCGAGCTTGATGCCGAGTGCAAACGGTATGCTCTACATCAATCAAACAAAGTTTAGCTCACAGCGAAATCGCAAAGGTACGACGACAAATTTAGGGACGCATGCACTAACATCCCGCCGCGGAGAAGATCGCAGCCTAAAGTAAAGCTTCATATCCTGAAGCTTCAGATATGTGGGTTTCACGCTGTCTACTTACCCATAAGTATTCTTTCCATTCTATCTATGAACATATTGAACAGGAGCGAGAAGCTTTACAAGGGCATTGTCCAGCTTTTTGTACCATCCCCTGATGATCCCCTACGGCCGAAAATTTTTTCAAAGTCATTTTTTTCTTCAGAATAATGAGACATTCCAAAGTTGTGTCGATGATCAAATTCAACAGTGCTAAGCATGCTGTTGATAGAAACAAATGATATTATGGAGACATGAAATTTGCGACGAACCACAAGTCGAAAGTTGGGGTTTATCGAAAAATTAGATATTTCCCAAACTCATTCGTTTTCATTAGCATCATGCTAACAAGGAAACGATACTCGGTGTCCGTGGCTTTTTGAGATGAGTTGTATACCATTACACTCGTCTTGGAACGCTGACTCCGAATCTGACTTCCGTTTCTGCTAATCGCTTCAAAGATGTTGTAAAGGATTGTGCAGGCTTCGGCTTTCCACTGAAATAAGTTCGAAGCGGAAACAGTGCCGGTGCGGTGTGGTCTAGTGGTTAGCGGGATAGGCACATGAGTTGATGCAGTTGTAGGTTCGAATCCTTTTGTGTTTTTCAGTTTTGCATTGCCTCAATAAACCTTCTTTCGCATCTTCGAGCTAACTGGACGCCCTTACTCTTCAAAAAACGTGGAAATTTGGAAAAAATTTACTATTTGCGTTAAAATGTACCCAATGACCATAATTCGAGTGAATTTCGAACAATTTTGATTGAGGTAGTGCAAAACAAAAACACAAAAGAATTTGAACCTACACATGTATCAAGTTATGAGGCTATCACACTAACCACTGGACAAGAACATGGCGCCGGTAGAGGCCGTTCTGATGACCATACCCTTGGGCGGATAAAGTTGGCTCGAAATTCCTCCATAACTTCCTTCAGAGAAACGATTAGCAGAAACGGAAGTCAGATTCGGAATCAGCGTTCGAAGGCGAGTGTAATGGTATACATCTCGTCTCAAAAGGCCACGGACATTGAGTATCGTTCCCTTGTGAGCACTATTGGGTTAGATAATCAGTACTTTTCGGATTTCGTTAACTTTAAAAAAAGAAAAGTGACTTCAAAGAAAAGACAGTCGGCCACCGGAGATCATCGACGGGTCGTACAAAAAGTTGGATGCGGCTTATACAGCTTCTTGCTTCAATATGTTCATATTGAAGAACGAAGGAAATAATTACGGATAGCTTATACGGCGTAGAATCCAGGGCCGGTAGTCTACCCTACCTGGTGGCATCAAAGATGCCGGCAAGTTGGCACACATCGCGGAAAGATGCCAACTCCGCCGGCAGCTCGCGGAGTGATTGTAGGATTTAACAATCTTATGTAACCTTAGCACGCTATCATTTCCCACACTAAATTTTGATGACGCAGACAGCCGCAAAAGTGCTACCTCGCGCGCGGTCGAACCTATGTGCGTTAACTTGAAGCGCCACCACGTTAACCACTCGACCATTCGGTCAGCCATTACCGTTTGCACCAGCAATAGGAGGAACGCGCTGGTAAATGGCTGCCTGTAGGAGGGATCGATACATTGCGTGAGAGACTTTGACCCTAAAAGAACAGCTGATTGATATAAGCGAGATAGAGGCGAAATCGGTGCAAACGAGATTTATAAGGGATTGCCAAACAAGATGATGTTCTTTATGATTTTCAGGCATTACTGAATTTTTTCTCTGTAAGAAAATCGTCGTTTTAAAAAAAACTCGTATAATGAGAAAAATGATAGTTTTTTGATAAAAAGTAAAATTTTTGATTTTTTCGCCTGACGTAAATTGTGTGATATCGCCGCAATTCGCAAACTCGCAGACGCCGTCGGCAAAGGTGCCACCACCTCGACGTGGTAGGGGCACGTCGAGATGCTGGCAGCTCCCTCTCTCAAAAGAGCACGCTATTTCCCGTGCTCTCTGACCTGCCGGCAGCTGCCATCTCGCGGATTTCGACGAGCTGCCGGCAGGTTGCCGGCAACTTACATCGCGAAGTTGCCGGCAGCTCCTTCTGCGCTTCCAGATATTTTCCCACAGGAGGATTTCTAGAACCGCAGATTTCTATGGAGTTTTCTACAGAGTCTAGGCGGCATCTTTATCGAGAAAATTTTTTGGAAATAGGCCTGGGAACGCCTAAATTTGGGGTTTCAATTTCTGGCCACCTCACGGAAAAGGTGCCAGCGACCTGCCGACGAGACCTGCCGCCAGGTCGGGGGGATTACTACCGGCCCAGATATCTAGGGCTTAAGGATATGAAGCCTTCTTTTGAGTTGCGATCCCCTCTCCATCGGGGATCTTAGTGCATGCAGCCCTCAGTGTGCGCATGCGCTCGAGAAACTTGAATCATGCAAAAAATTTTTCATTGTGAATGAAAGCCATGCCTTTTTTTCGGAATTAGCTAGAACCGTCTATTTGGGTTTCAGCTGAGCTGGAGCCAATTTTGTACGCGCATAATTTTTCATACTTTTTTACACATGTTGTCGTGGATTACGAAGAAGTGTGATCTGCTATAGATATATTAGGTTGTTGCATAAATAATGTCCGTTTTGCAAATTTTCACTTTGGAAGGCTATAAGTTTGTTCAGTCTTTATATTTTTGAATGCACTCAAGACCTCAGAAACAGCAAATCTTACGTAATTTGGCGCGTACGTGCTCATATTGATATCGCAAACGGGAAGAAAATCATGCTTCAAAAAACTGAAAGTTTTTTTTTGAAAACCTCGTCTTTTAGAGCTTAGAACTCCCTTCAAGTTTTGTTCGTATGACTGGCAGTCAGCTTATTTTGTATCCACAGGCCATGTGTTTACGTTTGTATAGAAAAGACTCCAACGAGGAGTTCTACGGAAACTAAGGATAAAAATTCAAAAATGTTCACTTTTTTGAGCCTACTTGTTGTAGGTTTGTAAGTGCCAAATTGTGAAAATTTGGAATTCTTCGCGCACGGAATAGCTGAGTTTCTCTTCAAATATTGTAATTAAGGTGGCTAATATCAAGCTTACAGAAGTGGGCGAAGCTTTGGCGATTGCCTTAATTATGGGAATTTCTGACCCATAAAATGACAGCAACAAGTATCTATTTCGAGGCATCAATTTCTCAGTCCAGATATCTCCAAAAATCTACCTAAGCAAGCAGTAGGTAAACAATTTTCATCCAGTACTATTGCTATGTTTTCAGAAGAATTCGTTTATTGCTCCTGAATTGTGGTCAAGAAAGTGAAAGCTATGAGTGTCCGATTTTGAGGGCGGATGCGCAAAATTTGGTGAAATTCTCGCAGATAAGGATAGCAGCTTAATTCCACCATTGTTAGAAAGTACATGAAGAGAGAAGACCAGACCACGTCAGAAGACCATCAGCATCATCAACTGCTACTCTCCAACATCAGCAGCTGACGACTCAGAACTAGATGCTTTCTACGAAGACGTGGAGGAGGTCATCCGCAGCGAAAAGTCCTTCTACAAGTATGTTGTGGGCGACTTCAATGCGAAAATCGGGATGTCACTAGAAAAGGAATATAGGATCGGGAAGTTTGGATATGGGCTCCGGAACGAAAACGGCAACCGTCTTATTGGGCTTCTCTCCGCCGCACGACTTTTCCATGGAAATTCCATCTTCATGAAGAAAGAACATTGCCGGTGGACATGGGAATCGCCCAACGGAACGACTCACGCGGAGATCGACCACATTCTCGCCAACCGAAGGTGGAGCTTGCTCGATGTCTCAGTAGTTCCATCCTTCTGCAGTGGCTCCGATCACCGCCTCCTTCGAGCGAAGATACGACTCAGCCGAAGGCTGGAAAAGAAAGTCTGTCACAGTGCCGCGAGAAGGAAGGAAGTCGTTTATGACGGTAACAGATCAGAAGAGCTCATATCAAGTCGTGACTGGCCCATCGAAGAGGGCACAACGTAGACTACGACCGGCTTCTGAAAGGATTGCGAGCCTGCGGAGAGTGCGCCTCAGTGACTTCTGAGAAGAACTTGGAACATATTTCAAAGACCACCAAGGAATTGCTCGAAAGAAGAAGATTTCTGAGGCAGGATCCGAATGCAACCCATCTCGATCGACTGATAGCCAACGCCAGTTGCAGAACAGCTTTGCAGGAGGATCTCAGGAAGTAAGGCAAGCCAAGATACTGGAAGCAGCCGAAGAAAGACGAAGTCTTAAGAAATGCCGAAGGGACCTCTGTGAATATCACGTACCGCTGGCTGCACTATTGAACGAAGACGGGACTCCAACTTCTTCCCGATACAAGATGGAATCTATCGCGAAGAACTTCTATACCAACCTCTTCCGCTCATCAACACCCGTGCCGATGCCCGTTGTTCCCACTGGAGAAGTACCACCACGAATTCTACCTGCTGAAGTGCGCACGGCGATCCAGACCATGAAGACATC